TTTTTTGGGACGCCTTCTTCAAAGGTCTCCGCCCCCCGTGTCCGTCCTCGACGATTTCTCTTTGGAAGCTACACAACGAATTGAAGCTATGAAAGCAAACATTCTCTTTGAACCACAAATGGCTAGCCAAGTTAGAACAGAGTTTTTAAGAATGGCCAGAAGCCGAAACTAACTCTAGCTTGAATTTTTTCTTGGAATTTTTTAAAGGAAAAAACCCAATTTCAAAGAAGACTCACAGAAGCTTGAGAGCTTGCCAAGTTGAGACAGAGTTTTTAAAAAAAGGCAAGAAGCCGAAGCTACCCTCAGCTTGATTTTTTAGTTGGAATTTTTTAAGGGAAAAATCTCATTATTAAACTGTACATACAATGTAAATATGTTTAAGGCTATAGATAGCATTTTGCCAAGTTGCGACAGAGTTTTTAAATAAGACAAGAAGTCGAGACTAACCGCAGCTTGAATTTTTTGAGGAATTTTTTAAGGGAAAAATCTCCGTATAAACAAAACCCACGACAGACAAAACTTGACTCGAAACACACGAACCTTAAAAGGTCAGACTGTGGTCCCCCAGGACCTGGTGCACTGTTTCCGTTCCTCCGTGTTTATTTTGTCACTTTAATTTCGCGAAGCCGCCCGACGGTTTCCTCGGAGTGCCATCCGAGTTTCAACGTCTGTCGTTGTTATTAAGAAGTTCAAAAACCGTGAAAAAGTATAACTTTGGCCCCTTGGCTTTCAAGAACCAAGTTGGAGCCCTGATCCAATTCCCCCAAGAATAAGTTCTTTTCTCTTCTCTTTTTCTGGAGGCTGCTGGTTCGCAGATTTTCTACAAAGAACCAGCGGGGTGGTTTTGGCGGGACCTCCTCTCAGTACAACTGAGAAGTTGTGCTTTTGACCGCGGTGAGAACTAAAAGGTTGTTGCTAAGCCAAACAAAAAAGCAACTGGCATCCCGACACCGACTTTAACTCGACGAAAGTACAATGGACGACCTAATTGACTTATCCGACATCGAAGTTGAAGTCCCGTTCGCCGCAATAAGGGCAGATTCGTCCGACGCAGCGGAACTTAATTTACTTCGCTCCCTGTACGCCGAGCTCGAGGCCTACAGACAATTCGAAGAATTAGAAGCGAAGCAAAGCTTATTGCGCGACACGCTTAATCGGGATGCTCATTCGAGATTAGTGCGTCATAGAGATAACTAGGTGCTCTAATCATCCCGAATTTTTATCTGTGTTTCGTGGTTTTATTGAAAACTGTGTTTCTTCTAGAAAATATTTTCAAAGGTGAGTTAATTTATTTTTGATAACAGTTTATTTTTAGATTTAAGTATAAGGATTTTTTAATTGTGGTTATTATCACAGATGTAAAACGTAGCCAAAAGGTGTGGTCAACTATTTAGATAGATTATTCTTTAATTTAACAGATTGTTCTACTAAATTATAAGTTTGAGAGATAACAATTTTTTGATTCACCCTATTAATACTTATATCTAGATGGAGGAGTTGTTGGAGCGTCCAGCCTGTAAAAGACATTATTTAGCATATAAAATTGCAATTGAAATAATACATACCACTTTCTTTCTCCTGAAATTATGTGGACTTCTTGTCCAGCATGACAGAAAACTGCTGGAACAGCTCCTCCAGATCTGCACCATCGCTCACCAGTCGGAATTTGCTATTAAACGACTTGACCTCTTCTTGCTCTTTTGCCTGCAGGAGGAAGCGACCGAAAAGTTCCACACCGACTTTGATATGGCCAAATTTATTCACCATATCCCCTACCAGCTTGACGAATTTCTGTTGAAGATGTTCTAGAAAGTGCTTCACGCTGGTAGGGTCCTGTTTCGAAGAAAGCCGGTATGCTGCAATTCGGTTCCTGAATGTTGTACTGACAAGGCTGACATCTTCCTCCTGCTCTACGCAGGTGTTTGCTCGGTGTCGAAGACTGCGGAGATGTCCAGCCCATTGACTGATTGGAATCTCCAAACCGCAGTCCTCGCACCGGCGTGTAGCTGATGTTGACGGTTCTAAAAAGAATAAATTGGAATTAGACAAAAGTATATGAAAAAAGAAAGTGTTAATTAGGAAAATTATTTATAAATTTATTTTACCAGCAGCTTGATCAAGTCTAGCATGTTTCGTCATGGAGGTGGCGGGATTTCCAGCCTTACGTTTGGGGACTCTTGGGGCTGGGTGTTTTTCCTGCAGATGACGTTGCAGATTCCCCTCCGATTTAAAAATCCCGCCACATTGGCTGCAGATCTTGGCAGAGAATCGACAGTCTCCATGACGTCTCAAGTTATCTCTCCTGGTGAATGAACGGTTGCAGAACTCACAGATAAACATTTTCTAAAATATAAAAAAAAAAAATATTCTAAGCAAACTTAATTGTATGTATAAAATTACTTACGGTTAATAATAAACTTGAACTCAAAAAATTAATCGGACGCCTGAGTTGATCAGTTTAAAACACTTGAAAATACGCGCGCGAAAACGGAGATGTGTCTATGCGTGCGATGCAACGACGACTGTTATCACAGAGTAAAATTTTGTTCCAGTAGAATTGCTTCACCTCTGATAACCCTGACTTCAGGGTCGCGACCTGTCACGACTTGCTCATATAAGAAAAAACTGTTGACGAAGCGTCTAGACATCGGTACGATTTATGGATTTAATGTCGGAGAGCCGCGAGCTGTTATTTGTTGATATAAGAAAAACTGTTTACGAAGCGTCTAGACATCGGTACGATTTATGGATTTAGTGTCGGAGAGCCGCGGTCTGTTGTTTGTTGATACAAGAAAAACTGTTGACGAAGTGTTTATTGACGTCGGTACGATTTAGATTTAGTCGAAGAGTCAGCGATAAAAAAAATAAATGCTTTATGAAAGCTGAAAATTGGCGCTCGCTCTCGGACTATAGTTAAATGTGGTACTCGAGACGCGTTTGGATGTCATTGTAAAACAAACAAACACTGCTGAAATAATTATTATCGTATGTACGTTGAGGTTTAAATCGGTTTTTATGATACTTGAGCTTCAGTCTTGTTCGATCTCGTCAACAGTGAACATTATAATTATTATAAAATTATTGCACATTTTTTTTTTAACAAGTAAGTAAATCTTTTATGTACTAATATCAATACCTACACAATATTTTTTAGATATGGATTTGAAATCAATCAACGAGACCTGCCTCTTCGTAGCAAAGGATCAAAAAACACTTGTGAAATTACAAGACATGGAGCCTGGCAGAAAGTACCCAATATGTTCTGCTAAAAAAACCCAGAGTAAATTCGGACCGAGCATCCTCATTGAACTTGACGATAAGGCAGTGTTTCTTCCAAAACGTACCACCAAATCATCGGAAGATCATATTGAGCAGTTTATGGATGGAAAATATTCAATAATATACAGAGGCCAGAAGGATGTAGGACGACCAAACCAAATATGGCTTTTTGAAATAGTTGAGTCTTAAAAAATGTATGTTTTTAAATAAAAAATTGTTTGAGGTTAGTATTTTTTTTTCTTGAGCCCATCTGTCTATTTTCTTTATATTTCTTCATGTATTTATGCATGTATAAATTCACGTATTTTTTCATCTGTATAAATACATGTAGAAATATAAAAAATACACACAGGTGTAATGTTATACGGGGTTTATAGATGGCGCATCAGAGAGCAGTTCAGGTAAGTTGGAGTAGTTCAGGTTAATTGGGTTAGATGACATTGACAGCTGACTGACATTGACAGATGAATGACATTGACAGATGAATGACATTGACAGATGAATGACATTGACAGATGAATGACATTGACAGATGAATGACATTGACAGACCACTGATATTGACAGGTGACTGACATTGACAGGTGGCTGACATTGACAGCTGAATGACATTGACAGATGAATGACATTGACAGATGAATGACATCGACAGACCACTGACATTGACAAGTGACATTGACAGGTGGCTGACATTGACAGCTGAATTACATTGACAGATGACATTGACAGCTGACTGACATTGACAGCTGACTGATGACGTCATGGCGTCGCGACGCACTGGTTGGCGCATGCGCAGACATCACGGAAGCGTCGGAGGCGTCGGAGGATGCAGAACTGTCCAACTATATCTACTACGAATTGACATTAAAAATATAACGCAATCATAATAAATTTGTAAATAATAATAAATACACAAAATTGACGAATAAAGCACGATAAGAAACACACTCTCAACAAAGCCGGTCGACTCTCAAACAAACAATAGACTATTGGGTTCATCAACAAACTGTTCTTATTTTTTCCTGATACAACCCTGTTGCATGTATTCTTTCACAGTTGTTTCTCGCGGGCTCTCGCGGAAACTAGCTCTATCTTCTTTCATGTATTCTTTCACAGTTGTTTCTCGCGGGCTCTCGCCGAAACTAGCTCTATCTTCTTTCGCATACAGGATTGGAAAGAGACACGTATGTGCCGAACTACTTCTCAATTTTACGGAATTCGTTCACTCATTGAGCGCATGTGCAAATATGTAACCCACGCTCGCCTATTGGTTGAGGTTTTTGGCTTCAAAAAACGTGGAGAGTTGTTTAACTGTATCGATACGGTATAAACTGTGTACAGGGTGACCCACATAACATTTCCTTTCCTAATTTTTTGAGCCAGTGAAAATAGTATTACCTTTAATTTTTTGGGACTTACCTACACCCCAATGAAAATATTCACCAGAGGTGTAAGTCCCAAAAAATGCAAGGTAATATCATGAATCTACCTCAAATATACAGATATTTATTGAAAAATAGTAGTTGAGAACGTTCCAGACAAAGCTTCTACGAATATAATATCATATCCGTACTTTGTGGATCATCCTGTACTTGCCACGAGAATTATAAGGTGTCAATAACGTCGGGCAATTGAAATAAACTTTTTCCTCGGTAATTATTACCCTTATACTAAGGGTACATAAATAAATAGTTATCAATATTTAGCGTTCAATTTTTGAAGATTTCCTAGAAGGCCGTAACGTAGTAGAGCAAGATACCTTTGTGCTTAGGATTCACAGAGGAAAAGTTTTTGAAGAGTTTTTGGAAGCGTTCAAAGAAAATATTGTTGTCATCGATAATATAAAAATTGTAATGATTTTACCAAATGGAGAAATCGAGCAAGGAGAAGACATGGGCGAAGTCTTAAGGGATTCTCTCGCAGAGTTTTGGACCACATTTTATGACCGATGCACCACTGGAACAACATTTAAAATCCCTTACATTCGACACGATTTTGGTGAGTCATAATGGCTAGCTGTTGCTAATATTCTAGTAAAAGGTTACACTTGGGAAAAATATTTCCCAATACTTTTAGCACCAGTTTTTATAAAATCTTGTATTGACAACTCTGCAATCGTAGATGAAGAACTCGTAGAAAATTTCTTAAATTATATATCAGATTCAGATTCGAAAATGGTGAAAGATTCCTTTATTGATTGCGAAAATGTGGATTCCGATGAAATCCTGGAATTTGTTTCGGGGTACGATTCTAAATGGAATCTAACAAAAGACAACATAAAACAGTTAATCAGAGACATCGCTCATAAGGAACCTATTCAAAAACCCTCTTTCGTAATCAAATGTTTTCATCAAATAATTTCAAAAAGTAGCATTACATTAGAAGTGATACAAAATCTTTACACGGACTTACAACCAAGTGTGAAAAATTGTTTAAAACAGATTATTTTACAAAAGAAAGAAGAAAACCTGATTATTGAAGAAATACAAACATTTTCGTATTTAAAGAAGTACATAAAAGAAAGCGATTCCAAAACCAGACAAGCCCTACTAAGATTCTGTACAGGTTCAGATTTGCCAGTCGGAAAAATTACTGTAGATTTCAATGCATCATCTGGGCACAGTCGGACTCCGATAGGACATACTTGGTCAGGAATTCTAGAACTTCCTTTTACTTACGAAAATTTTCCAACATTTCGCAGTGAACTTAATAACATTTTGAATTCCAATATATGGGTAATGAATGTTATTTGAAGTAGATGGAATAGGGGGGTAGACCCCTGCGCTGGCGCTGACCTACTTTCCCACTGACCTACTTTCACCAGACGGACCCGCCCGCCCACCCGCCACTTTCCTACCATTCGTCCACCACCAGTCGTCCGCCGCGAATTTCCTACTGCCGCAGACCGCCCGCCCCATAAAATTCCGCCACCACAAATGACTACCACTGAAACAACTTTTTTTTTGACCACCACCTCAGGCAGCAGAGTTAAGCACGGCCTTTAGTGGCTCCTTTGAGGTTAAGTTTAAAATTTTAAAAATTTCTCGGCTACTGGGCCACCACTGAAACAACTTTTTTGACCACCACTTCTGACTCAAGCACTACCTTTTTTTAGTTATGGGATTTTATCAGGCCTGGTACACCATGCAAGCCCAACCCACTTTTTTTCAGAGAGGAAGTATTTTTTTTTCCTCCGACTTTTGTAGAGGATATTTATTGTCTTGAAATCAGGTGAATTTTGGCAATAGTTCGATTTTTTTGTGCAGTGAATTTGTGAAATATCTAATAGAAAAAAAAAATGTCGAAACGAGTTATTTGTTTTACGTCAAAAAAAGTTGCAATGTCAACTTTAGATCAAACTATAACTTCGATGCATGATGATGAAGAGTTAATATTTCATGAAGATCAGAACAACAAATCAAGACAGAGAAGCAACATTTTAATCAGCATAGATAAAAACAACACACGTGAGGACGATGAGGATTCTGAAGATGAGGCAATTTGTGTAGACGAAATTGAGATCCCATCAGCTTGTGGTGAAAATGCCGATGTAGTTACGAAAGAAATTAACGCAAGTGATACTGTTTTACCAAATTATCTCATGAAACAGATTTGTGTTATTCAATCCTATGTTGTCATCGAATCAATTTATGGAGGACTGTACAGTTTGTGTTTGAATTGTCACTAATCCCATGGTCTAGAAGTACCTATAGGAAAGCACAAATTTGTGAACACTCACTATCAAAGGAGATTCTATTGTTGTGAAAAAGACGATCTATGCTGTGCAATATGCAAATCAATACTTTTTTTTTAAATTCCTACACCGGTGTGCATAATGTGCAATAAAAGTGAAGCTCAAAATATTAACAATCATACTTTAGAAAAGAAAAATTTAGAATAATTACTATTATGATGGGTACCTACACAGCCCCCTACATTTAACAAGCCATGAAGTTAAAAAGGCAACACCACAATCTCACCGCCAAGTGGTGCTGGTGGTGTTTGTTTGTATAAATATATATTTTTTATTTTATTAATATGAATCACAAAAAATACATAATTTATTGTACTAAAGGGCCAAAAACAGTAATTCAATGAATAATTTAACTATTTGTGTAAATAAGAACAGTAAATAATTGATTTAAATGAATATATTTCTAGAGTCTAAAGTGTTATAGGCCTATGTTTCAGTATGTCTTTTGAAAATCTAACTTTTTCTTTCTTCGGGATTTTTTCGGAAGGCAAGTCCATTCAAATACTTGCGCTGATTTTCGAAAATAAGAGGTACCTACTTTTAAGAGAAGGACGTTTTAGTTTGAACTCTCGAACTACGCCTTTATCCTTGTTTGTTTCAAATCTAATTATTTCGGTTTCTTCAAAATGTTTACAACACACCACAGAATTTTTCGTTATTGTATAATCTCGGGTATAATTATCTTGGTGTATTGCTTTCATCCACATTTTTTGCACTTCAGAATTTTTTTGGAAATAAAAATGTTTGCATTTCTTCAGTTTTTAAGGAACTCCTAATAGTTCGATTTGCACCCAGGAACACAGTAGTTTCATGGCATCTGGAACAAGTTTAAATATCTTAGGTAATATATCGAGACCTATGCTCTTGCAGACAAATATTAATATTGTTTTTATTGTTTTACCTTACCTTACCTTCATTTTTGCTCCTGTACCCATTTGCTAAAAATTTGCAATCAAAGCACAAAGGAACAGGTATCAACTAAATATGGGCAATATATTGGTGTGTTTCTATCCACTTTTTCGTCAATAAAGCCCATAAAAATACTAAATTGCAACAATACACAATGAAAGCAATACACAGAAACACATAACCCAATAACAAAATAGCACCATACGCGACGTTGCCGTCATTTCCAATTTCATGGCTTGTTAACTATAGGAGGCTGTGGTACCTACCAATTAGGAGGACAAAGGATCATGAAACACATCTTGAAAAAAAAAAGTACCGTGATATACTACCCACGAATGAGTGCAACATTGTATGTAGTTTTAAATTTCAAAAACTCGATTGTAAATCTCTCTGAAACCACGAATTAAGGCTACATTGTATGGACTTTTGAACTTTCAAAAACACAATTGGACATTTCGCGAGAAAGTGGATAAGATATTTACCCATAAATTTTGAAAAGGTATTGCAGAAAAAAACGGTACCTACCTTAACGTAAATGGGTTAAGATGTAAGATTTATGTTGAACCAGGCCGAAAGATTACCGAGTGTGGGTATCGAGCGGGGTTCGAAAATATGTGAACGCCGTTTTTTGGTCTTATAAAATCTCCTGAAAATTTCAGTTCAGATACAACTTGTTTGATATTCGGTTAAGTTCTTTTTTTTGTATCTTGTTTTTTTGTTTGATACCTTTGTGCAAATGTGTGATCCGGTAAGTCATTTTTTCAATGACGATTCACTTTTAAATTATTTAAACAATGCTGAGAATACTACTTTTAATAACTTGAATTTTAATAACGTTTGTCAAGAACATGGGTTTGAAGAGTGTTTAAGTTGTTGCATAGATAATAATTTTTCAGATTTTTCCAACAATTCTCTTCCAGATTATTTTAATTTTTCACATTCTTCTGACGTTGAGATTTCATATGGAAAAAAAGATGTAGATGTTGATATTTTTTAAAATCTAATTCCCCAACCTTCAACATCCCAAGCTATACACAATTCAACAATCAATACTTTTGATTTAATAGAAGAATCTAGCGACTCTTCTCTTTCTGATAGAACTATTTTTTCAAATTTAGAACTTAATGATGAGATTCAAAACACAATACACCAAACAGAAGATCTAAAAAATAATCAGGATCTTTCAAAATTTATTAATTTGAAGAATAAAACTAATTTTTCAAGAACTGACATGAGGCAGTGTAGCTCAGCAATGAAGTCAATTATTTTCAATCAAATAAATTTGGAAAAAAATATGAAAGAAAATTTTTGTATTCAAACTTTATCAGAGATAAAAAATAATATAGACAGAGAGAACAATCTGTTAGCAAATTTGTGTACCTATTTCTTTGAAAAAAAGAGAAGGGGCATACATTTATAATATAAATCAGTCTGTAAATAAAATTAGTTTAGTAACCATGGCTTTTGTATGCACACATTGCTTGAAAGAGTTTAAGCAGAAAAGATACATTAAAAAACACATTTTGAAAACGTGTGTGGAACCGAATGATCCCTCAAAAGTAGAAGATTACATAATTGATGGTGAGTTTAACTGTATTTCATATTTTTTTGATTGGGTTTCACTTATGTAATATTTTTTACAGTCGAACAAACTTTTTTAAGAAAGAACAAACTCGTTTTTGTCAAGAGTGCAATAAAAATGTTGATATACAAACCTGGAATGCACACTTGAAGACAAATCTTCATAAAAATAATAGCACTATTAAATATGGTAATGGTATTGATATGATTAGAAGTGCATTTAAATGTCGTATAGCTTCGTATAAAATATATTCCCAAAAATATCACGTGGATATCAAATACTTTTTGAATGAAGCAAGAGAGAATATTTTTTTGCTTATACGACAGAAGCATACAACTGGGAAGTCAATGATTCGCCATTGGAAGAACACTTGATATATTGCAAAAACTGCCCCTATGCTCAATGTGTAACTGAATCCCTAAGATTGAAGAATATTCAAGATAAAAATGTGAAAACCGCAGTGAAATTTGAAAAACACATTATTATCTGTTTCTTCGCAGTTCTGGCATTGAACTTGTGTTATTTATTGACTTAAAGGGATGACAATCAATATAGTTGAAATTAGTATATAAATCATATTTTTAAATAGGTTAGTGTTATTATTTTGAGAACAATGATTGTAGCTCCATTAATTGTACTATTTTCCATAATTGGAAATAAAATGTATGTTAACCATATTCCCACTAGTAAAACAGCAAAAATTTGTATTAATAAACACAAAAACGATACTGATTGCTATCAAAATATGGAATTGACATACATGAGCAATTATCCATATGTTTACAATTATAATTTAACTGAAAACTGTGCAAGAGAATGTAATTATTTTAAAATTAAATTCTATTTAAACAATAAGGAAACTATTTACTCAAACTGGATTAAATTGAATGAAACAGCAGCATGTACAGGGTGCTGCAATTTGGAGTGTTTCCACAGGAAAAATATACTTCCAGACCAGATAGAGGAAAATTGACTTAGATGTCATGGGATCGATTTTTGAGAAACCTCAATTGTCTAAAATCGTATCCCGATATCTTCAATGGTACCATTGATACAAGGCGATTTTCGATTTTCCCCTATTATGGAAAATGGCTATAAGTTTTTTATTTATTAATTTTTTTTATTTCTGTAAAAATATTATGGAGACACTTTTTTTAGCACAATCCAGTGGCGGACTCGGTTTTTTTCTATATTGCTCCGATTTCGAGATATCGACCAAATTCCGATATTTTCATGAAACATCCTTTATATTAATAGCTCATTGGATAGCTCTGTTTTTGCTGATTTCAATGATATAAAGTTCGATAGATTTATCTCTAACAGTTTTCGAGAAGAAAAATTATATCTATTTTTGTCGTAAGGACCAATGTGTTTTATATGTGTAAGGAAAGTGAGGAAGGTCTCTTTCTAACACATTGTTATGACTGAAACAGATATTGTTTTTTTCTGGAAAACTGTTAGAGATAAACCTATCGAACTTTATATCATTGAAATCAGCAAATACAGAG